AATTAATAAAATATAATTATAGGAAAAAAAAAGAAGGAATTGGCTGACACAGAAGAACTTCATGAAATAACATGAGCAAGAGCCTATGGTGATGAAAGAGGAAGTTCAAGTTGCTCTGAAGGAATTGGCATAAAACAAGGCTCCAGGAGTTGACAGCATACCAATTGATTTATTTCAACAAACAGACACTGCCCTGGATGTGCTAAGTTGCCAGGAAATCTGGAGGACCGCCAGCTGGCCAAATGACTGGAAGAAATAGGTATTTTTTCCCATTCCAAAGAAATGACCCAACAGAGTGTGGAAATTATCAAACAATATCATTGATATCACATGCAAGCAAGATTCTGCTGAAAACTATCCAAAAATGTTTGGAACAATATGTCAACAGAGAACTGCCAGATGTTCAGGCTGGATTTAGAAGAGGTCATGGTACTAGGGATATTATAGCTAATATAAGATGGATCTTGTCAGAAAGCAGAGAATACCAGAAGAATGTCTGTCTGTGCTTCATTGACTATGCAAAGGCTTTTTTGACTGTGTGGATCACAACAAGCTATGGCTGACTCTGAGAAGAATGGGAATCCCAGAACATTTGATCATGCTAATGCAAAACCTATACTTGGGCCAAGAGGCAGTCGTCAGAACAGAGCAGGGAGACACTGGATGGTTCAAAATCAAGAAAAGGGTCCGTCAGAGATGTATTTTGTCTCCATACCTTTTCAGTCTGTATGCAGAACAGATCATCCGAGACCCTGGGCTGTACGAGGAGGAATGTGGCATCAGGCTTGGTGGAAGAATCTTCAACAACCTACGTTATGTGGATGACACAACCCTGCTTGCTGAAACTGAGGAGGACCTGAAGCACTTGCTGCAGGTCAAGGACTGCAGTCTTCAATATGGACTGAAGCTCAATATCAAGAAAACAAAGATTCTAACCACTGGGCCAATTGGCAGCATCCAATGGTGAAGAGATGGTGAAGGATGGTGAAGAGATTGAGAGAGTTAACAGTTTTAGTTTGCTTGGTTCCACAGTCAAAGGTCTTGGTAACAGCAGCTAGAAAAACAGGAGACAAATTGCATTGGGAAAGTCAGCTGTGAGGGACCTCTCAAGAGCACTGAAGAGCAATGACATCAGGCTAGAGACTAAGGTGCACCTGATCCAGGCTATAGTCTTTGCAATTACGTGCTGTGCATCAGAGAGTTGGACAGTAAATACGGATGACAGAAAGAGAAGTGATGCCTTTGAACTGTGGTGCTGGAGAAGAGTGTTGAATAGGAGAACAAACAGGTTTGTCCTGGAGAAGGGGAAGCCAGAATGCTCCTTGGAGTCAAGGATTCTGAAGCTTCATCTGACATACTTTGGGCATGTTGCAAGGAGGGACTGACTGGTCCTTGGAGAGGGACATCATATTTGGGAGAGTGAAGGGGCGGTGGAGGAGAGGAAGACCCTCGATGAGATGGATTGATTCTGTGAGTGGAGTGGTGGGAATGACTGTGTCTGAGACAGCGAGGTTGGCACAGGATAGAATGGCATTTAGGGTTCTTGTACATAGGGTTGCTATGAGTTGTAAGCGACTCAATGGCCCATAACAACAGAAGAAGCCTATAAAGAATAAATTACTATAGGATATATATTTAATTTCTATAAATAAAAACACATGATGACTCAAATAATAATGGAGGATCATATCAAGTATCATCCAATAGGCTCATTCAAAATAAATGCTATAGAAGTTCTAGTTTTTCCTAGGAAATAACTGTAGTAAGGTAAACTCTAACACAATGAATTAAATGTGTCACTTAATGCAGACAACCCGTTTCTAAATTTATGAAATTGAAGAAAAAGTGTTTTCTAAAAATGGAACTTCTCTTTTTAATCATCATGCATTTTGGAGTTCATAGTATTCAAGCCAGAAACATCAGGACGTCAGTTGTCACACACGTAAGCCCTGCATAACCAATGAATAACAAATATGCCGTTCTTGTTCATTCCTCACTAAGCAGATATTTCTCCAGATTTTAATATGGCAACCCTATAAAAAGACATTCCAAAACTACGGAAAAAAACGTAAAAATTCCTACTACTACCTACCATTCATCTATTAGCCACCATCCTCCACAAGGCTGGGGTTTTTGAGAGATGAGTCAACTGCATTTTCATAAACTCACATACATTGCTGACACCCAGAGTCACATTCATCTTCCTATGTAGGACTGGCCGTTCAGCAAGTTCTAGTCTCTGAAGGGGTAGGAAGCTAAGGGCAAATGAAGCTGTTCCCTCACATCTAAGAGTTGTGGTATGTGTTTGTTTTTATCACCTGCACAGGTGCAGACGCACTGTGAGCATGGAGACTGGATGCCAGAATGTTCAACTCTGCTCTACCATACTCAAAGTCGCCTTTCCCCCTGAAGTAATTGGACCCCTGTTCTTCTTTCCTCTGCTTTACATGATTTTCCAGCTTGCAGAAGGGCTTCTGTTCATTGCCATCTTCCGGTGCTATGAGAAAATCAACCCTCCAAAGGGTAAGTAATGAATTGTCCCCTTCTGAGTTCTGCTTCTATAATGGATGTGCTACTGCCAGCAGGTCTTTGGCAGAGCCCTTTAAATGACTGAAGTGACTATGAAGCCATTAGGAACCAGGTAGCATCAAGATTTATTCAAGGCCTAACTTCCTAACCAGTAGACCAGCCGAATTCTCTTATAACACTTTCCTGAAAACTTGCTGATGCCTCATATTCTACACAATTTTTTTGTAACCATAAACACATCATATGCTTTTAAAAAATTACTCAAGGGACCTAAAAAAAAGCCAAGGCTACTTCTATTAGCTGCCTCCATCTCTACCTTCTAGCTAGGACAATCAAGCTCACAGGAGCTCCACAGGAGAATGGGCAATCTCTTCCCATGTGATATACTGCCTCTGAAAACCCACTGGAGGGTTGGCTACGGGTCAGTTCCGAGTCAAGAGCAAACAATAACTTGATGACACCTCTTTTTCTAAGGTGCTCAGAGTGTTTAATAATCTTCAAAATGTAATAAAAAGGAATTTAGTCTGACTTTGCTCTGGTGATGCAGTCCATAGGAAGTTGTGCTGTTAACCCCAATGGTGGCCCTTCTATGGCTGTTTGAATGCACCAGTAACTGCAAGAGAAAGATGGGCCATCTCCTGCTCCATGCAATTTACCACCTCAGAAAACCCACTGGAGGGTCCGGCTATGAGTTGGTTGTGACTTGACAGCAATGAGTTTGAATTTTGATCATTAAAGAAGTTGAGAAAGTAAAACTTTTCTGAGTTCAAAACTGAAATGGTAGAAGGGTAGAAAGTAAAAACAAAATTCGCCCTGGGAGGGAAATGGTATTGCTTTTATCTTCCAGATTGTGCAAACCTTTTATTAATGACTATTTTCTCCCCATACATCCTTTACCTTTTGCATCTTCACAGATAAAACAAAAGTGACCTACACAAGTGCCAAAACAGAAGAAGTTGTTCCAGGATCTCTGGGAAACGGCACCCACAAAGGAGAGGAATGTTCCCCTCGTGCAGTCTAGCCCTTCTCCCAGTGACCTGAATTCTGGTTAGGTCACTCGGCATGTCAGTGGTACACCAGAAAAGACATGAACTATTCTTGTCTGAAATTCTTCAACAGACCCATCAGAATCTTAAGTGTTGGCATAGAAGGCAGAGAAGACATCTAAGAACTCCAGAAGCCTGATCTCTTCCCAGCTTAAAACGTGGTGCTTGTTTAAAAAAAAAAAAAGACTGTTTAGTAACAGGCAGTAAGTTCTCTAAAGGCAGGAAGCAACGCTGCCTTCTGCCTCTAGATCAGGCAAATAGGTCCTCAACTCCTGAACCAATTAATAGACTATTATTTACATAGAATTAAATACCTATTAAGGGTCTAAAATTCAAGAGCACTTCATGGCAAGCTATTGCTAAATGAGTTGTCTCTCCATTCAAGGACTATTACTAGAACAGACAGACTTCTCAATTTTAAAATGTAAACCTTTTTACAATGTTCACTCATGTACAAACATGCATTAAGTGAAAGATGATTGTTGTGTGGTGTTGAGGAAGAACCGACGCATAGCTGACCCTCCAGCAGGTGTTTAGAGGCAGTAATTGCTTGGGTAGAGAATGTCCATTGTTTTTCCTGTGACATAGCTGGTGGATTTGAACAGTGTACCTCTGGGATTGCAACACAGGTTCTTACACAAGGCCACCAAAGTGAAAGATTAATGAGCAATTAATACTAACATATGTAAATAGCTGACCATGCCATTATATATGCTCTTTCAGTATAACTAAGTTCAACTGAAATCAACACACATTATGTATGGTATCCGTATGGCACATCTCAGACTGCCAGATCCAGTCATGTGCTACATAACATCCATTCAGGCAGTGTCTGACATCATTGGTCTGTGATCCCATAATGCTATAAGAGTTTCATAGATCCCCATCAGAGATAGGGACATATGAGATATAACTAAATGTAGGGGATGCAAAAGCTTTTTGGATTCATCACATCAATCTCATGTCTCCTGTGTATACAAGGTAATTTCGCTGCCAAGTATACAATGGTTTGGTGCATATATACACTGTAATACATATGTCATGATACTCATAATAAATGTTTGTTACCAGTTTATGTATGTACTTTTATTATTTTAATATAAACTTGTCCTACTTGAAAACAAATACCTGAAACCCACAGAGTCCCTTTTCAGCAGGAAGTAGCTAAGAGAATACGCCATCCGGGAGGAGTGATAGGGAATGGCAAGGGACACACCGACAAAGGAGATTAATCAGAACTGGCTTTGACAAGCACTGTGGCAATTGGACAATTAAAACAGACATGGGGGGGGGGAAGAACAACGAACTGGGGATGAGGGTGGAGAAAACAGTGCAACAATGAATGAATGAAAACCCAAAATCTCTGTAAATGTTCATTAAAACTAATAAAATTTAATAAAATAAAAAAAAACAAATAGTATACCATTTAACAATAGGTAGTCACACATCTTCTGAGTGCTGTATTATCTAATTTTTATCTCAGAAATTATATCATGATTGAAGTGAAACAAAAGACTACTTAAAAATATGAAGGTATTCTCTTTGAAAAGTAAAATTCTTTCATTGTTATACAATCCCTCCTCCTCCCAGTTCACTCCACTATGCAGCCTTTGTTCTGGACTCCTATCATGACAGTAATATCTAATCACATATCTCTTTTAAACGTTCTCTCCCTCACCTGTTTCAATGCAGTATAATTTACTCCATCTTTCTCAGTCTCCCCACCCACCGCCCCAACCCCTAAGTCAGTCCCGTTTTACAACAGTGGCATTATGCAGTATTTGTCCTTTTGTGACCAAGATATTTCACTCAGCATAATGTCCTCCAGGGTCAACCATTTTGAGTATTTCATGAGTTCCTTGTTTTTCAATGCAGCATAGTATTGTGTGAGTATACCACAGCTTCCCTATCCATTTGTTTGTTGATGAGCACTTAGGTTGTTTCCAATTCTTTGCTATTGTGAGCAAATTGGGGGGGAGGGGTGGGCAGGGAGAAATGCAACAATGAATGAATGAAAATCCAAAGTCTCTGTAAATTTTCATTAAAATTAATAATAAAGAAATATAAACTTAAAAAAAGAATTATGCTGTAAAAAATTTGTTGCATTAAAAAAATCATTAATAATAAAAGAATGGAAAACATTAGCATTGAAAATTCTGTGATCACAGGTCACCTTCAACACACATTGAGAATAAAATCCAGGGTAACTGGTATATGGCTTAGTGTCCAGAATCATACATACTTTGAGTTGAAGAGAGAACATCCAAGTGGTTTTACTGTTTATTTTTTTCATCCCCAATAAAATGCAGTCCAGTATCTTGAATTCAGTAGGGCAACTAACAAATGACATAAATTTGAAGTTATGTTTATGTACACTCAGGTATAGTGCCTCTATGCCAATCCCAAAGAACTACTATGAAAAGGTGCTTGTGTGTGTGCGTGTGTGTTACGTGCAAAGTATTAAATTCATGATGTTCTCTGTAGGAGTTAATATATTAAATCAAGATATAGATAAGTAAATACAAGTACAGATGAATAGCATGATAAAAATGTGTTCATTAGAATTTTGAGGAAATAGTACAAAGAGAATACTTTTTTTATAAGTTTTTTGTGATCACAATGCTGCATTTTTTCCAGTGATAATTTCAAACCTACAAAGTTCACAGTCTTTGTCTTTATAGAAATGGACAGAGCTGAATGTCTTTTTTATATAGAAAGTTAGCAAGTGAGTCAGGAGTCTTTTTTTGTTGCTGTTATTTTTCCAGGAATAAAACTGGAATTATTTTTAATTAAAAAAAAAGGTAGGAAATCAATGAATGCTATTATTTCTACTTAGTTTGTATAGGGTTGCACTGCTAACTCAAAAGCCAAGAATCTCTGTCATTTCAAATTCACCATTAGCTCAAATGGGAAAAGATGGACAATCTGCTCCCAGGCATTTTACAACCTTAGGAAGAAAAAAAAGTAATTAGGTTCAAATCATACAAAATAAAATTCCACACAATGAATATACCTGTACTCCAAACATCACCGTAAGTGTAGGAATCACTAATTCATCAATACCTTCTTAAAAAATCCAAACATGAAAAGACCTATCTACCATTTGCATATTATGCCCACATTTATGTACCTGTTCTGATTGTTTTCTTCAGTAGTTAGCTTCAGTTAAGCATAATAAAGTCTTAAGTCTATGAACAAGGGGTTTCTTCTTGAGCAAAATGCCTAAGATCCCATTGTCATTGAGTCCAGAACTCATGACTGACCCTCCTGTAAATCCCACAGGAAGATATTACCTTTCCCCCTCAGAGTTATTAGTGGATTTGAATCACCAGAGAGGGACAGCCTTTGAGTAAGTATTTAAATTCCCTACAGACTAAGTCACCAGAACTCCCTTTTTTGAAGAAGGGCTAAATTTTGAGCTTAGGTGGTACTTAAGTGCTCTGATACTAACCAAAACGTTGGCAGTTTTAACCTACCTATTCAGTCAGTATGCTGAACAAATTATCCAAGAAGCTGGACTGAAGAGGGTGGCAGCCGGAATGGAGGTAGACTCATTAACTGTGTTATGCAGATGGCACAACCTTCCTTGCTGAAAATGAGGACTTGAAGCACTTGTTGCAGCCTTCAGTAGGGATTGCATCTTAATGTCAGAAAAACAAAGATTCTTATCACTGGACCCATAGGCAGCATCATGATGAATGGAAAGGAGACTGACAGCTTCATCTTCTTGGATCCACAGTTAACACCTTTGGTAGCAGCAGTCAGGAAATAAGGAAACACATAGCTCTGGGGAAATCTGCATTTAGGGATCTTTCCCAAGTACTGAGAGGAGGGATGTTAGTTTGAGGACTAAGGTGCATCTGATTCAGGGCATAGTCTTTGCAATTACTAGCCAGGCATGAGACATGCACAATGAACAAGGATGACAGAAAAAGAATTGACACCTTTGAACTGTAGTGTTGGAGAAGAGCACTGAACATCCCATGGACGGTCATGAGAATGATAAATCTTAGAGGGGGTGCAATCAAGAGTGCTCTTTGGAGTAAATGATGAGACTTCTCCTGACATACTTTGGACATGTTGCTAGGAGGGACTATTCCTTGATCTTGCGAAGGAGAGGAAGACCCTCAACCAGCTGGATTGACACGGTGACTGCTACAATGGGCTCTTGCGTGTCAGGAAAGCGCAGGATAGAACAGGGTTCAGATCTTGTGTTCATAGGGTCGCCAAGAGTCTGCTCAACTCGAGGGCGCCTAACAAGAGTGGCTGTCAAAAAAAGTCCTGGAAATCTACTTTTATAATCATTAGTGTTATGTGCCATCGAGTCACTTGCGAATTCATAACCACCCTATCTACAACAGCCCTAAACCCTGTTCTATCCTTTGCCAATCTGTCTCAAACACACTCAATCCCAATTACCCCAATCACTGAATCAATCCACCTCACAGAGGGTCTTCCCCTCCTGCATTGTCCCTCCTTGCAACATTTCCAAAATAGGTCAGATCCTTGCCTCCAAGGAGCAGCATGATTTAACCCTCTCCAGGCTGAACCTGTTGTTCTTAGCAGTCCATGGTACATTCAATACTCTTCTCCAGAATCACAGCTCAAAGTCATCATTTCTCCTTCTATCCTTGTCCTCTCTGATGCATAACAAGCGACTGCAAAGACCATGGCCTGTATCAGGTGTACCTTAGTCTCCAGAGAGACACCACTGCTATTCAGTACTTTGGCGAGGTCCCTAACAGCAGACTTTCCCATCACAATATCTTTTAATTTCCTTGCTGCTGATGCCAAGAGTGTTGACTGTGGAGCCAAGAAAACTAAAGCTGTGAGCAATCTCAGTTTCTTCACCATCCATCCTAATGCTGCCAATTGGCCCAGTGGTGAGAATCTTTGTCTTCTTGATATTGAGCCTCAATCCATATTGAAGGCTGCCGTCCTTGACCTTCTACAGCAAGTGCTTCAGGTTCTCCTC